CGTGCGCCTCTTGTGAGTCTCAATTGATTAAACTGAGGTGCGCAGCTTACGGTTTTCGGCGTTCTAAGCGAAAATTAGACCTGCGTGGGTGACTGGGAGATCGAATGATGAGTTGAAACACCGACGTGCGTTCGAGTTCAGTGCCTTGGGAGCCCTGCGAACTGAAGAGGCTGCAACTAAAATTTACCCTAACTTAATGTGGGAAATGGTATCTGGTTGGCGAATCTCGTTGAAGTGAGTTTACGCCCCAGTTTGGGAATGACGAAGTCGGAGGTATACTGCAACAACCCTTGGTGGTAGGAGCGTGTAAAATGTATTCTCAGGTGACGACCAGCTCTTCTATTTATAATACCACCCAAACTCCCTTTATTGACTCTAGCTCATGACAGTAGTGACATCAGCACTAGCTGGACTGGCTGCGATGCCGGGGAAGCATTGGTCTGACTGCAATTCTGCTTGTGACGGTCTGCATATGCCCTAGCTTCTAAGATATGCAAGAAAAATGAACATCAGCGCTTCTCAGCTGAAGTCGGTGATGTGCAAGTTAACAGCAAGCGCAAGGAACTGTAGTCGTTATTTCGATGCAAAACACTGTTGCACTGTGTTTCGTGTACACATACGCCCATGTGTGCAGGCAAAAGGCAAAAGAAAAAGCACTGTTGCGCGATGGAGTCTTGTAAGTTTCTTCGCCTAACGAATTTAACACATCAACCCCGATGTAAACCAACACGAACGCTTGTAGGTTTGCTGCGCATCATACAAAATTGGCGCTACAGAGGCCCAGCCACTCATTGTGGTTCGTTTCTTGTTTTCGACCCAGTGACATTAAATCTGAAACTTTTCAAGAATTTACAATCAAGATCGTTTGTTTCTTAATTAACTTGGCATTTTATACACTGCGCTTAATGACTTTACCAAAAATTTCGTCGACAAATGAGACTTATTTTTGTAGTAAAATATTTTGGTGAGAAAATGTGGCACTTTGGGATGGTGAATGCCAGATGCAATATGAAATTTTTAATTTTATGAACACCTCTCTGTCAGAGTGAAAGAGTTTGCGTGGTTTTAAAGACTTAATTATCTCATCTCGTTATAAATCTTGCTATCTAGTTGCTAATTTAATGTCACGACGGATTTATCACTTAAATTTACCTATTCTAGCAATACTCTGGTTAACATCTACTCAACAAATGCCATAATTACTTTGTGTTCCATGATGATTATGTTTCAAGGCAAAGGCAAAGTAGCCCTTGAAGCCGACACCGATGAACCGGTGTACACGCATCAACAAACAAGGAGAAACTGGTATGCTCCCCTGCCCCCTAGGGAAAACGTGTGAAGAACAGTGTGAAGATTGCTGTAACTATCATCAGAAATGAAAGCGTAGTTAGTTTATCTAAACCAAACGTCGCCTGCGCACGTATTCTTTAACGTAACTATTCTATGCTTCACTGGTGACACTGGTTTCGCTTTGGAAGACACGGGTCTACAGGTGGCTCCCTTATCGACGTAGTAAAGGGAATCACGTGTGTCAGTTGGCTGGGGGATTTGTGATGTAGTGGATTGGTAACGGCACATTGCGTTTGGGAAAAGTCGTTATGGTACTATGGCACAGTAGGCAAAAGTAGTTCAACCGAGGCAGAGGTCTTAAACCATTCAAGTCTACTTTTCTCGTTTGTGCATTTGCATCCCTTGGGGCATTTGCTAGCTGAAAAGTGTAACAATCCATCCCCTTTTTTACTTTAAAATCGCTTTCACTTCAGTTTAAACTGATTCATCATCAGGACTTGGTTATTCCTGACTTTAAAATCCAAGACCTGGACCCCTGTCTGAAATTCATGTTATTGCAAAGGCATTACAACTTTTGGTTGGCAAAAACACAAGCTGGCGAATCTGACAATTGTGTTTCTGGGGTGGCTGCGCGACGCCCCTTCACCAGGCGCACTCGCGAAGGCTGGGCAAAACAGGCTCGCTTCAAATGGTCCCGACGGAGCTTTCGATCTAACTTGGGGGAATGCTGAGGATTCCAAAGTCGCTCCTGGTCAATCGATTCCACGTGCTGTTCGTAAATCCTTTACTAAAGGAATTGTGAGCTACCGAATTAAAGCCATCAAAAATCGTTGACAAGGTAAAATTACCATACAAAATGTACAAGTCACCAGACTTAGTGTAGAGATTGCTTTACTGCAAGGGCTATATACACATTCGGGAACTAGGTTGAGAGCCAGTGGCAAACTTATGATTACCTTTAGATTTAGCTAAGGAAAAAGATTGAAATGTGCGAAGTATATTCGCTGCAACTGACTAAAAGCCGAACTTTTTAATTAATTAGTTTGCCTAAAACGATGAAAATGGAATTAAGTTTCAGCAGATTTTAATTGACCATGAAGTATAATTGTGTTGGTTTATTAAAAAGGCCTTTTGGGTGGTCATGCTTCTTTTCATGGCAGGGAGAGTGATTATTTTATACCACTCAGTTCAAGACTATGTTGCATTAGGATTTGATGTTACAAAACAAAAATTCTCTCTACTTTGACAAAATTACGGACTTACCTGCTCGAATGTCTTAACAGTATGCTGACGCTAAATATGTTATTTGAAATTAACCTCACGAGTGAAGTCATTTTAGTTTTGCGTTGGTGAGAGCGCATTACAGGAGGTCTGTTGTCGCAAATGATTTATAAGAAAGAAACACATTAAAACCAGTCTTTGGATATTGGCTTGCCTTCGTGAGACAAGTCCAACATTTTTTTCATGTGACCTGACCCGACCGTAGTTCAACAATTTGACTTCTGTCTGAAACTCACAAAATGACGTTTGTTTGGAGAATCGAATACATGATGTTCCCATATATACATGGTCACCTTGTCACAGAAGTTGACACCCTTCTCGTCACATCTCTATGCGTGTAAGCACCACACTAACCTCGGCCATTTCTCACCTTCTTCGTCAGAGTGCGTCAAAGTAGGTCGTCGGCCCCGTTGCGATTTGGTAACCACATCGAAATCTTTACACAGACTAATTTTTTAAACATAAAATTAGCATTGAATCCTCAAACTACTCAGGGTGCTCACCTTGGTTAAACAGCCGTTTAATATCTCAGCGAAATGTAGGAGATGAATTTTGCGGTCAGGTCGAAGCCATTGGATAAATATTAAATAAGTGATCGGCTTTTAGGCTGGTGTCGCTACGTACTTTACTGGATTGTGTTCTACAAGTCACAATCTGTCTACTTCAGTTCGGATGAATTATCCCAGAAGGCTCCATTTTACTAATGTGCCTTGACTTAAATGGCCTGTTTTGAAAGGTAAAAAGTTGGTAAATCGACTAATTTTGAGCTATGTTTCCTTCAAGTTGTGATCAAATAGGTAGTTTAACTCGGTTCACGAATATATTAATTTTGTGGACATGCATCCTTCGAATGATCGAACTAGGCGATCACAGTATGTGGCCTTACGAGTGGTCTCCTTGTTCATACTTTTACAAACATGAACCTGTTACGTTTGCCCGTAATAAAGAGACAACCATTTTAAATAATGGTACCAGATCCCTTGTTGACGCTAGCAACAACCTTCCTAGCTAATATAAAGATAAGACCAGAGTTCGTGTCGAGGGCTTGAATCACATCAGCCACGTCCGGAGTCCGATTGTCGAAAGGGAAACTAGTTTAAGTCAGGATTGACCTTGACGTGATAAAAAGCGTAATAAAACACAGGTTAGTGAATTGGTGTAAAAAGTGCCAGAAACCAACGACGAGCAATCTTGGGGTATCGTGGATCCCCAACAGAACCTGACTTAATTTTAAAATACCACTGATTTATCCGCAAGAAAACTCAATCGTTAATAGTGAAGACTCGAGATGCTAGTCCGGTGGTATTCGAATTCACCGTTCGATTTGGATGGCGCCCGAGTATGTTCGCATGGCTCCTCACCTCCCTAAACACTTGCTACTGTTGTACGTGCCTGAAAGGACTGCCTCTAAACGAGTGTTGATGTAATTGCAAGATATCAGGTCGATGCGAAGTCAATTTCCGCATACAAGTTGTAAATTTAGAAGATAAAAACAATGGAAAAATATTTTTTTTCTTGAATAAAATGGGTGCGAATGTTTATGTGACAACAGAAACCCTTTTTAGAGACAAAATTTTAATTAATATAATCCAAAACACATAATATCAAAAATTAGCATTACTTATATCCCACTCTGATGCTCAAAATGAGTCGCGTTTTACAAAATGTTGTCTAGACAACCAAATCGTATGGTACGCTTATTGTGCATTCAGAATAATGGTAGACTTTGTTAAGATGATAAAATAAGTGTGTTGAGAACCACACCAGGGCCGGCGATATACGCTGACAAGGTCTGACCGAAAGAAGAGTAGGACTACTGATAACGCGCAGCTCAACAAAATTATAATGGTGTGTGCTCAAGGTAACAGGGATCGGTTTAACATGGACTCCTGAACGAACACAGTTGCGTGGAGTGCATTCACGTAAACCACTTGAACCGTGTTCGCTCACCATTCCTAATTGTGCCCGCTTGCTGCTCGCTACAAGTGACAGTGGTTTAATAACACATAGTCCGCAGAGGACGTTAACTTCAGGGGGAATCAGCATGGAGGCAGGTAGTCTGTGTAACTTACTTTGAGGCACGAGTTGAACCCACAGGCGTTAGTGCTGCCGCAATTAACGAGACCAGGATCACCGCACCCCACCACACAACCACCTTTCTTTAGAGTCTAGTGCTCACACAGGTTTAGTCACCTGACCAGGTGTAGCTGGTTACTTCAAGCTGTCGCAGCAGGAAAATAACCATCTCTTATTAGTCTAACGATAGATTTTATTGGCTTAATTTTCAAGATGTATGGACCAAAAAGCAAAGGACCAAAACTAATCGCTAAGGCATCAGCACAGAAGCTTAAAAGCACATGGTTTGAGAACTAGCAATGGGAAGCTTCATCTCTCTATCCCATATTTTCAGCTGTTTTTTGTTGTCAAAATCAATCTGCATCCAGACAGAAGACGCGAGAGCTGCAGGCGCTGAGCCAGCCTAAACTCACGTGCGCTTTGCCAGTCATGGTGGCAACCTCCAGCTCTCGTGTCCTCTCGCCTGCTCGCGATCCCACTCGCAGAAAGTCATAACTATTGTGACTCGAGTTTTCCTTCTCCTCTTTCTATAATAAAAGCATGCACGTTATGACATTCATCAACGCGATACTTAGTGGAAAGTGATGTTGCATTAAATGATTTTTTTTTCACAAAAAAACTTACTCTGTTCTCCGTTAGCTAATAACTGAAAACATCATAAATATACGAAATTACTTGTAAAAACTATTCTAATTTTGCATTCAGGTGGCTAATTTTAGTAACGTATTCTAGCTTTCAATTGATTAGACGGCCGAAACTCAAAGACCTCTTAAAATATTTAACTTGACCTACTGACCAGTAAAACGACGGCTCCGTGTTGCGCACAAATAAAAGCTGCAGCCTTCAGTTGTACAAGCATCCATATAAGAAAATTCAAAGTAAGTTGATGGCAACAAGTCTGGCCTGATGAACGCAAAGATACTGTTGTGAGCATTGCGAATCCACCCAAGTTATGCTTTAATGCCTTAGTAATCCATAAATCATGTGAACCCATGTCGCGTGCGGATTGAACTATCCGCGGGCTGTTAATTATTATACTGCTAACAAATTAAAGTTGCGTTGTTTCACGCCATTCACAACTAACCTTAGATGTTCACCGTAGTCAGTTTCCCTCCAGGTTTCACTTTACTTTCCCAAGCTAAGTTTTCAAATTTGTTTTTAGTGCTTTACATTTCACCACAATTTCTTGTGTTTATTAACACTTAAGGTAACCTTCTTTTCCTGGAATAACTTTAGTGATTAGTGCTTCACTAAAAAGGTGCGGTTTGTTGCAGTTCGTTTGTTAATGAAATTAATTTAATAAATAGGGGCGTTTTCGCAATGGCCAAGACTGGTAAAGCATTCCGCCAAGCCAGAATTTATTTATGCTGCTTAGGTAAAACATCGATCATTTTCTCATTTTCCCAAGTAGAACATTAGCGACACGATTCATTTATCACGTTACAATCAACGCTCCTTCGACTGAGATGCTACCGGAACGGTAGTTGAGCATGTTTGTTTACCCATTTCTCTTGAAGCGTCAGATCGCGACAAGTGGGCTTCTTGGAACTGCATAGTTTTGGCGCAAGAGGGAAACACAGGATGGAGTTGGTATCTGCAAGAACAGTTGTCGGTTCTAGGCATCATGTGTTTCAACCACTTTTTTGTAGGAAGGAGCTCTAAACCAGGCACTAATTCGACTAGCTCCTGCAGCAAAGTCACTAAGTGGATTACTCACTAGTTTCTTGACTGGTAAAAGGATGGCTTTAGTGTCTGGAACTTTTAGCAGTTTAAGAATGTTACATGCCTAATCTGTGGTATTTAATTGGTGCGTTACCAGTTTTATAACATTTGTGAGTTTCAATGACATCAGGTTTAATCTCGTTCCTCAAAAACTCTGCTATTTTCCGACAGCAAGTCTAAACTGCCGTATTTAATCACAAGTCCTCTGTGTGTACCATAGGTAGCCTCAATTGAAGTGAGCCTTTTGCCGTTGGTAGGTCTGAATATTCATTCACTTGCTCATTTTGGTTTTGCAAACCACCCACACGCATATCATCTCCATTGCCTCTCTAGCCGTCGTTGTGTACTGGTGTCGGCGCGGTAAAGGGCAGCGAAGAGGGCAGTTATTTTTGTCTGACTCAGCCCCCATTTTTGAGTTTAAAGTTATAGGTCCATGTGCCTGCTGATGTTTGAAAGACGGAGTTAAGTCGGGACTCCAAGTTATGGTTTTATTAGGCACTTTTGACTGATATTTTATTGTCCGAACTCTGCATCGAGGTCGACCTTAAGCCACCAAGTGACCGATGATCACATTCTTGCTTCCCCATATGCATTCGCGGTTTTTTCCTCAGGTTAAGTAGGTTATGCACTTCCATCAAATATCTTTTGTCCTAGGAAGCGATTGTTTGTAAATCGAAAGCATTATTGATTACTGCGTAACTGGGGCTGTACGTGTAACCATATAGACAGAGTCATTTCAAACCAACTTACTTTCATCACAACGTAGATGTTTATAGCCTAGCAACAATTTACACCCGCTTTACCGAGTTAGAATCGAAGGATGCTAAAAGGCATGTTGCTGAGACATCTACATCATGCTGAATTCTGTCCTGGTCGCTATTAGCATCCGTCTCTGCCAATTACGCAATATTGAAAGGTCCCAAATGCCTTATCCACAGGCCCATATGAAACAGCCCGTTTCTATCGCTTAAAAAAAACTTAATGCCCTAAAAGTAAAATTCTAACTTGCTAGAAAGTTCATTTTTGTCATTGTAAGAAATTGGGAGGGATTAAACCTCAGCTTCTTGAATTACCAGGTTAAGCTTCATGACGACTTACCGCGGATCTGGTGTCGCGTTTCTCTAGAGTTCTTCTTTCGGCATCCCCTAAATGACCATTTCCTAAACAATTTGATTTCAGGAAATCATCATCACTTTATTTGATTAATTCTGCAGTGATTTAAGTGTTACTTGCCCGTGATTTTCACTTAAATTCCCAGCATCTTTCCGCATTGCGTGTCTTGAATCTGAAACTGGCAGCACTTTGAACCTCCACTGTCACTAACGCAAAACACGTGACCTCATTTGGCGGAGCCACCATAAAGGAAACGTCTTCCTCTTCCCTCTTTTGTTCGTTTTTTATCAATTACAAGTCTCAAGATCACTTCCATTGCTTTCTTCCTCACACAGTCCCTTGTTATCGTCAAAACCCCTATTTTGGACAAAACTTTACTGGAATTTACTGTTATAATTCTAAGTAACTTTTGATAAAAATATAACAACCCCACAGATGATAGGGAGACCATGCTAATTGATTATAAAGGCATTTTGAATCGGTACCCAAAGTTCATTTCAAATCAGTCATAGCTTAATTCTTGTTTACTATGGCATAGAAGAACTTGTGCATATCTGTAATCAAGCTTAAATTGATCTAAGGACACTGAAAGTGCGCAGAAGTTCACAAGAATTCAGTTCAATTTCTGTAAACTTTTAAAGAACCTGCATTCAGACTAGTTGGCCCTTTGTCCCTGGAAGAAACGGCAGGACCCTTTCGGCCTGCTACCAGTGATGACAGCGCTGTTAAAACGAATTTGATTGGGCAGGATTACTATAAAAAAAAGAGTAACTCAGCGCGCAGTAGCGTGGCGCTGTGGAAATTTCGGCAATTCCTAAGAGAATAAAACATGGAAATCGTGTTCCTTAATGTGAAACACAATAATCCTTTTTAAATTATCACATCGTTATGTTTAACACACATAGAAAGGGTGCACTCTAGTAGTTTAAATGTCGTTATTTTTTTCTATTTGACGAAATATTGAATGAGGGGCTAGGCAATATAGCCTTTAAAAATTATTCCTATCACCTTTTTAACTTGACATTCTATTTTAATGCACTTAAACAATATTAAAAGGTACCAACCATAAGCCGTGCTGATTTACTTATCGACTTATACTCCTGTTATCGATGTAGCTTCCTATTAAAGGTTTTTTTATTTGAAATTGTAAAATTTTTAAAAGCATGATCGGATGAAGAATAAGTCAAACGGAGAGGAATGCAAAGGAAGGCGTCCGAAAAATTGCGTAAATTAATCGGATGTAAAGGTTCAGACAGGGTTGAGCATACTCCCATCAGTTCGCAGAGTTATTTATAAAGTTTCTATATGCTTACTGCCATTCACCTACCTTGACAGCATCTAAGAAGTGTTTTAACAACGATACATAGGATTTGCATCACGTTACGGTTTGATGGTAACTCAACGCATAAAATAACTTTTTATATTTATACCAATATTGTAACAATCGCATAGTTTGTTCCCCCTGGAAGTAAAAGGCCCGTACCCTCTATTCTAATGCTCATACTTTCTGTCAAATTGATCACACGGATAACTATATAAATGTAACGAAACATGGGACTGCTGAGAAAGCACGGGAGCTTCGTTGGGGTGTGGAAGGCAAATAAAACCGCTACTCAGACCCACACACAAAAAGGACAAGTGGCACAGCAGCTGTTGATGCTTTGTTGGGAAGAGAGGCGATTAAAAACCACATAGTGGGCTTCCTTTTGTGATTTGTCCACTACACTAGCGCAAAAGGAACTGAGGATAGAGGAACAGACCAACAAACACGCAAACAGAAAGTGAGTTTCGTTGGAGCTTTTAGTAATTTTGTTAACCAAATTGAACGCATCGAATTATCTCCTGTGACAAATTTACGCCTTCTTATGGTACCTTTTGGCAAAATGGTCATCAATTTTCCACTGACAAGTTTTTGATTTAGGGTCTCGCCGTTAGAGGTTGAGTTTTCAAGCCAAAAATTACTTGCAATAAATCGATGGGATAAAGTTACAACGTAATTTTGATTTATATTTGTAAATGACGTTTGCTTTAAAACGGAAAAAAATCTTCATGACATGGGAAAAGAAGCAGTACTTGCACGTTCAGCGTCACATGACTGCTAAAGATATACTCTAGCTCCGTTGAAGGTTTGGGTTTGAACCCATGATGGAACTGATTCCTATTTGGGTGTTCGCGTATGGCGTCTAGACAAGTGCTTTCATTTAACTTGAAATACAAGCTGACTGGCTTCATATCCCAGTGAAGGTACTACAGACATTCTGGCATAGCTCTTTCAACTAAGTGATGAAGTTTGATGAGTTTCTTATAGATTCGATACCAAGATTTTCCTTATTATAAAAAAATAATGACCGACTGATACTGTACAGCTAAAGGGGCAGCGTTAATTCAAGATATATGCTTTATTTGTGATTTGTATTTTTTTATAGAAAGTACTAGTTTTCTCGTTTATTGTTGATGACATATGCTAAAATGTGATTTTGACCCGTCTACTGTAGATGGATAAAATATCAAGGCCAAAGTTGCGATTGCCAGTAGATCTTATAATGACACCAAAATAACATGAACGAATGTACTGTCACATAGAGCTGTTTCTTAACTTCTATTCCATTGGGAGATTTTTCATTGAAATCGAAGCAAATTGTGAATTAACTTTTGAGACCATGTACATATATATAATTGGCAAAAACAGCCCTAAGATTAGTCAACTGAGGTACTCAACGGTCGATTTTAGGAGTTAAATCAGGAAGATAACTGAGCTTCTGTAACTCATCCCTGAAAAATTTATCCACCAGCGTCAGATCTAAGCCCCACCCCCTATGCGAACTAGACTTGGGTTGCGATAGTCTTTTGGTTTATTTGTAATGTTTCGCATTTCACATCTATTTTCTGGGATGTTTTTTTCTAAGTAACGCCCAATAAGTAGGCGAATGACATATCATTTATCCACTTCTCTCAGTTAAATCTAATTTACACATATTAAGCTTAGTGCTTTAAAACTAGAGGATGGTAATAATTAAGCTTCAG